GGAGGGCAGTGTCACTGGCCCTCATATGTGGGATCCGAACCGGGGCCCTCTGGCATCCCAAGCGAGTTCTTAACCATCGCGCCACTCGGCCGGCCCTAGCCCTACTAGTCTTTATGCTCTGACCCCCACTCATGAAATTTGAGGAATGGGTTAAAATAAGTATAATCTACTAGAACTTCTCTTAATTTCGACTAGAACTCCAGTTCTTATTTTATCTGTATTTCATTGATGAGAAATTTTTTTTTTTGAGTTTATGTTCCCATGGGTAATATGATAATTAACATATATGTAGTACATACCATTTGTGAGGCACTGGTCTTAATGCTTTTCATATTGATATATTCAATGTGTATACTCTTTAAGTAGTCTCATTTAATCATCGAGATATGTAACATTATTGTCAACATTTTACAGAAATCTGAAGCACAAGGAGACCTTAAATAATTTACTCTAAGTCACATAGCTAAGAAGTGACCAATGATCTTAACCACAGCACCATGCTGCCTCTAAAACATTACGTTATGAACTTAAGTGGAGGACCTCTGGTGTGGTTCTAGCTTAGAAAAATGAGGGTAATCAAAGGTAGAGGGATTATAAATCACAGAATATCAGAATGGAAAAGGGCCATTGAGGTGATGAGGACTTTCCAGTTTCGAAATGATGGCACTGAGACCACAAAAGGTAATATGTCTTCCCTTAACAACAGCTAATGAGTGGTACAGCTGTGGTCAGAATTCAAGTTTTTGAATAGTCATTCAGTATAGTAGGAAGAAGAAATTGGTGGGATCTAGCAAACTTAATTAGCTCAATAAAGTGATCATTATTTGAAGGAATGGACTGGGGATACCTTTCACCTGGCACTGAAATGTGAAATAGTCAACCTGAAATTTGTACTAATCCAAAGCCAGTAAAATATACATTTTGTCATCAATTGGTAAGTTCCTAAGTCCTTTTTAAAAGTTAATTCTCTGGGAGACTCTCCAGATGTTATCATGGCTTTTAAATAGACAAGGACAAGCAATCTGCTCTACAGTGATGTCCTCTTTGGCACATTTTGGCTGGAACTAACTTGTCAGATTCAAATTCACACTCAAGTTCACTCTCTAAGTACCAGACCGGTGCCCATTTCCCGGTACTCTGCTGCCATCGTCTGGCAAATTCAAGTCAGGAACAGCTGAGTCACCCATTACCGGCTATTTAAGAATCTCAGTACCAGATTAATAGTTCTACTGAAAGCAGTGGGATAGGCTTGGTAGGAGTGGAGACAGAGGATCAGTATGGAGCAGGAAGAAGAAATTATTTTCTATTATGCTAAGAATAAGAAATTCTGTTGAATGTGATAATTGCATCAAAGTCCAAACATTAGATTGTAAATTGGAAGTCTTACTAATTTACTCCCTAGATACTATAAAACACATGTCATAGAAGTGAGTAAAATTTGGCATATCTACAAATATGAAGGCAGAGCCTTTCGGCTTAAGCCAAATCTCTTCTCTTTTATACTAGAGCAACTTCCTGCTTTAAAATATTTATAGTCAAAGCACACTTAAAGGTCATCTAAATAAAGGGGTGATTACTAATTTTTATAAAACATATTTGTTTTGCAAAATGACTGACAGTGCAAGCATATGCATGTGTATAATTTATTTGTAAAAGTTTGATTTGTACATTGTTTAAACAAATATGTCTACTGTATAAAACCATGCTAAGTTTTCATATAGTATAAAGATATGTATAGTGAGGTGATATTTTTCATGTATTGTTTTTTCTTTCTTATTCACACCTTGTTTAGTGGGACATTTCTTCTATTTATTCAGCCTCATCTTTGCCTCAAGAGAAATTCATATTATAGAATACAAAAAGAGTCAATGTTTAACTTTTAAATCCAAAATAGGGTATTGAAGCCCATTTAATTATTTTGCAGGCTGAAGCATTTCAGGAAATTAAATAGGAATAGATTTTTTTCTATGCTCCAAACTGTCTGAGATGGTAAAGGGGAAATTGAAAAATTCAGAGAAAATGAAGACAGCGTTCAGACAGAGACTTTAGTTTAACATGTGGAATGGCACCTTAAAGCTCCACAGACCTGCTCCCCAGAGAATTTCATTTGGAACTCTGCCTGGCCTGTGAACGAGTTCAACTAGATAGCTAGTAAGGTTTCATTCAGCTCTACAAGACTGATGCTCAGGTCTTGTATGTCCAGCGGGGAAATGTCTGCCCCTTCTTGGCCAAATTCAAAGGGGCATTGCCTCTCCTCTTTCCTTGGCCACGCCCCCAGAAGCTGGGCTGAGGACAGCCAGATAAAAAGTGGTTAGTTACCTGGGAAGTGTCGATGGCTCTTGCTTTTGCAGTTACATTTTCCAATTAGCTCAGGAGTATACACATCACTGTGACAGGTGGCACAGTAAAAGAAGGCTCTGGACAATGAAAGCAAATCAAGAATGACTTATGTGAGGCTTAGCGCTAAGGAAGCATGGCGCTGACTCAGTCTGCCTGCCATTAAGTTGTATATGCTTTAGGACTTTCTCCCCATAAAGTAATAAAAAAAAATTACCTTCTGACTTCCTTTGCAGATTCAGCAATAAAGAACCCTAATGTGTTCTTATGCAGCTTAACTTCTGCAGGTGGATTTAGTACCAGGCCACTAGAAAGAAAAAATAAAAACACAGTAATTTTTCCCTCTAATATCTGTGCCAATATTTTGTGTTTCATTCTGTCATTACCAATGGATTTTCTAAGTTGCAGAATTAATAGGACTCAATCCCCTTTTACTGCTAAACAAGGTAGACAATGTGAATTTGACTATATTTAATGCTCTGTTTTAAATATGCTGCTGAATATGCTGAGAGGAGCCAGGTCACAACATGATTGCTGGGCTGCATACACAGCTGAGCTAAGGGTAAGCTCTTTCCTGAACTGTGTCCTGAATCTGAGATGGCCAAACCAACTGAGGCTATCATTAGGCTATCCAATGCCTCCTAGGCCAAGGCCACACAGTTGCTAGTCTTATGGTCATACTAGTGGTGTTCATCCTTAGGTGTACTTGAACTGTAAAATTAAATCACGTCTATTAACCAGCGGGGTTCAAAAGTTCCTTTCAGTTACCTANCACCTTAAAGCTCCACAGACCTGCTCCCCAGAGAATTTCATTTGGAACTCTGCCTGGCCTGTGAACGAGTTCAACTAGATAGCTAGTAAGGTTTCATTCAGCTCTACAAGACTGATGCTCAGGTCTTGTATGTCCAGCGGGGAAATGTCTGCCCCTTCTTGGCCAAATTCAAAGGGGCATTGCCTCTCCTCTTTCCCTGGCCACGCCCCCAGAAGCTGGGCTGAGGACAGCCAGATAAAAAGTGGTTAGTTACCTGGGAAGTGTCGATGGCTCTTGCTTTTGCAGTTACATTTTCCAATTAGCTCAGGAGTATACACATCACTGTGACAGGTGGCACAGTAAAAGAAGGCTCTGGACAATGAAAGCAAATCAAGAATGACTTATGTGAGGCTTAGCGCTAAGGAAGCATGGCGCTGACTCAGTCTGCCTGCCATTAAGTTGTATATGCTTTAGGACTTTCTCCCCATAAAGTAATAAAAAAAAATTACCTTCTGACTTCCTTTGCAGATTCAGCAATAAAGAACCCTAATGTGTTCTTATGCAGCTTAACTTCTGCAGGTGGATTTAGTACCAGGCCACTAGAAAGAAAAAATAAAAACACAGTAATTTTTCCCTCTAATATCTGTGCCAATATTTTGTGTTTCATTCTGTCATTACCAATGGATTTTCTAAGTTGCAGAATTAATAGGACTCAATCCCCTTTTACTGCTAAACAAGGTAGACAATGTGAATTTGACTATATTTAATGCTCTGTTTTAAATATGCTGCTGAATATGCTGAGAGGAGCCAGGTCACAACATGATTGCTGGGCTGCATACACAGCTGAGCTAAGGGTAAGCTCTTTCCTGAACTGTGTCCTGAATCTGAGATGGCCAAACCAACTGAGGCTATCATTAGGCTATCCAATGCCTCCTAGGCCAAGGCCACACAGTTGCTAGTCTTATGGTCATACTAGTGGTGTTCATCCTTAGGTGTACTTGAACTGTAAAATTAAATCACGTCTATTAACCAGCGGGGTTCAAAAGTTCCTTTCAGTTACCTATACAATTTTTGAACTTGCATATTTCTTTTGACTTCAATTTTGTTTCCTGATTGCAAGGTTTTTGAGAGCAGGAACCACATGAATTGTTTCTATTTCTATATTACTTGAACATTTTGATTTTTGATTTTCTTATGGTTTGTGTGTTTGAAAATGCTTTCTTACAAATTTCATCCATGATACTTCTTGATGTAATACTCCCTCATGACTACTTGAGTTCCTCATATTTCTCCCTATGTTTGTCAGGATGTCCTGTTTTTATTTCCTGCTATTTTCAGACCTCTAACATAATGAAATCTTATAACCCTCTAACTCCCTGAACCTCATTTGTGCATGATCAAAGCACTCTTTTCCTCTTTTAAAGCATATTCTTATTATATTCACATTGGAAAGAGGTCAAGTCTTATTCTGTTTTCAGGGTACTCCAAAGTAACTTGCAAGGGTTAGAGCCTTATAAAAATGAAGGGGCTTGCACAACAAAAGCTCTTCAGTCCAATGCCAAGAGTCAAAAGCTGTGTTCAGGTAGATTATTACCTAAAACATTGGATGGCATTTTTTTAAATATTTACTGACTGATATTAATGAGTAGAATGATTGCTTTCACTTTGAAAGAGAAAGAACATGGATTTGCACCCTAAACATCACTGGTTAATATTCACTAGTTAGCAGGTATACATGTGGTTGTATCTTCATAACACCTTTTTTTTTAAAAGAGGGATGGTCTTCTGAACTCTTGTTAACTATTTAGTTATGAAGATACTATCATGATAATATCTCTGGTTGCATTTGAAGAAAAGGTGAACTTCTTTTGGAGATTTTTCCAAACTGGCATTATTGCTTGATGCCCTCTTCACGAGTCATGGCCAGCTGCTTTACTAGAGAATGTTTGCTACTGGAACAAACCCAGAACATTATCTGTCTGGGTCAGGTCCAGCTTTATCTCTTAGCAGGTGACAAAGTATACCCTAAGACAAATCGTTATGATTCCCCAGGGCTTTCACAAGTCTTACAGTATATTCAAGTGTATCAATTAAAAGGGAAAATAAAAAGTGGGCAAAGAGGTCTCCCCACGCCAGTT